AAAAAAAAAAAAATCTAACCAGTATACCTGTACAGGGAGAAGAGACTGGGCATCCTGAGAAGGCATTGCATTCCAGGGACTCCGGTGAAGGGGTAGTGGGAAACAGAAGACTGTTCTGAGCTTTGCATACCAAATATATGAAGGAAAGGAGGGGCCAGAAGAAGCAGTTAGTGGAAATAATCTAGATGTAAAATAATGAAATCCTGTACAAAACTGAGGGCCAAATAGGAAAGGGAAATTTTCATGTGGTTGACTTAGGGCATTTGAGGGTCCGAATCAACCTTTGGGTGAATGTGCAGAAGGTTAAGGAGTCTCCGGGAAACAGGAATGATGGGGTTCAACTCCAGGGTCAGAGCGAGGAGCAAAGGCTAGGGGTCTTCAGTGCAGCTGGTTTGCGCACTATTGATTTTCCTGAGCAGACCATTTTCACCCCATTGATTTTCTCAGCTGATTGGGCTGTGTTTTCCTGTTGGTTAGAGGTCGCGTTGTTCCTTTTAGATTCATTTTTGGACTCTTGCTACTTCCTCTCGTTAGCGTGTACTGCTCCAACCATGACTGCCAACTATTGACCAAGTGTGACATTTCCACCTGATAGTTCTATCGTTTGGTGACAAGTTGAGGGTGGCACCAAGAAGTTGAACTTACAAAAGAATTTAGCCTTCGCTCAGCCAGCTGGAAAGAGGTGTCACTGGTGCTGCCATCGTGAAATTGGGATCACAGGAAACTACACTGTCTATGAAAGCTAGATGCTTGGGTGGACTAGAAGAAGCAGATGAGAAAGTGATGAGTTCCCTGCTCACACTGCCCCGATTACAACTGAGCCAAGACTTGCAGAGGAGAGTCACAAGATGCCCTTGAGAAAGTTCCTTTATTATCCCCTGGCTTGGTTTCTTTTTCTTCTCTACAAAGTCAGAAGTTCATGTTGATGCCTGATGATGAGTTCGTAGACAAAAGACAGAAGTGAAGACCCAGGCTTTGAGTCTCAGCTGGATTCTTGGCATATATCCCTCATCACATCCCATTTATAAAGTAAGGACACTGATGTTTGCTGAATCTACCTCCCTTGGTTGAGATAATGCACCCGAAATGCCTGACACACTTTAAAAAACTTAGTTCCAGTCCATCAACTCAGGACCAGAACTGCCCTGAACATAATCCCACTCTTTTCCAGCAATTTAAGAGAATCAGTGGCTAGGGGGAACAAACCTGGGCACTGTCATGAAATCTCACAGGGGCCAAACACACAAACACTGTCCTCATGACAACAGCCATGAAATAGGTAAGGTTGAAGCAAAAGTCTGGGCTGGCCACAGAAACCCTGCATTTCCTTGTTTTATTTGTAAAGCTCACTGCTAAATGCTAAGGAAAATAAATTGATTTCCATCTTTACTGATGTGTTAAAATTGTTGCAACACCTCATATTACCAAATGGATTTGCTGTATAAATTGGAACATAATTGGTACTTCAGGCAGGTCACAAATCTACTTCGGCAGGAGCACATCACTCACAGGACACCGATTATAAAAATTAGTTAATTCAAGGCAAACATCGCATTCTCTGATGCCTGGCGCATTCCCCTTGGAATCTTCCATGCGTTAACCGCTGTGGACTAAGAAGTTATATATCCATCAGGTCACTTGATTCTCTGCAGGCCTGATTTAGAAGGTACTTAGACTAGTGTATCCACCAAGAAGAGACAGATTTCATTTATTAAAGCTGCCAGGCAGGAGTCTAAATGATGGGACTTGGTAATATTGCACTAATCTGTTGCTTTTATTTACTGCTGCCTGTCTCACTAGTGTAAATTTTCTCACGGAGGAATGTCCCCTAATTCATTCAATTTGACTTTCCTCGTGAGAGACAAGGGAAAGGTGCATCCTCATGTGAACTAGCACGATGTAAACATCTCTGGGCCATGGCTGATGTCAGCGCTCCACGTAAATCCCCTTCAGTAGCTTTGCAGTGGTGTCAGGGGGTGTGTATGGGGGACAGCAATCTGGGCTTAGATGTGCTTAGGTTTCCAACAGCCGGCACCGGCGGCTTTTTATTTTTTTATTTTTTGAGTAAGTGCCTTCAGGCTACCTCCTTCAGGCTACTGGAACTTGCTTTGCCACACAGAGAGGCAGCTGCGTCTAAGCATTAATGTTTCCCGAGGTGGTCCTTAACCAGTGACTGATGGGCTCAGGACTGCAAAAGTCCTGTTCCCTTCATGTGGTCTAACTTACACTCCAGAATTCTCCCAAGGAGCAAGTTAAAGCCATCTCCGTGAATCTGTGTGGTTTCTGCCTTTTCAAAGCTTGTTTTCCCCATGCCCTTAGTGGAGCCCCCTGAGGGCACCTCCTAAATAAATCATGTGTGTGTGTGTGACTCCTTGCTCGGGGTTGGCTTCTGGAAGAAGTGATGTGAAGCATTCTGAATGCTGGATATGGCCTGTGCTCTTCAAGTCTTATCTTATTTAATCACTGTGATAAACTCTGTAGATTAAGCTCATGTCCACTTTCTCATTTAATTTTTATAACAAACCCTGTGAGTTAGTATTCCTATCACCCTCATTTTATATGTGAGGATCTATAACTTAGATTAAAAGACTTGGCTACTGTTTATCTATCGCTACATTAAAAACCACCACAAGACTCAGAGGCTTAAAACGATATTTATTTTTCTCATCTATCTGCAATTTGGGCAAAGGTTGGTAGGATCAGCCCTGCCTGGTACATGAAATGCCTGGTACACTTTTAAAACTTAATTCCAGCCCTAGTTAGTTAGTTGGAGCAACTGCCCCAAGAGTGGATGGCCTGCCACCACTGTGGCTCCTCACATCACTGACAAGAGGGTTTGGCTTGGCTCCTTTCCACATGGGTTCTATGTGGAATGGCTTGGGCTTCCTCACAGTGTGGTGGCTGGAATGCCAGAGTAAGCATCTTAGAAACAGGAAGAAGATGAGTCTCTGGAAACAGCTTTGGGAACTTGCAGAAAGCTCTACTTCTGCAGTCTTCCGTTGACCAAACAACTACAGAATCCAGAAGCTAGATCTATCTTCAATTTTTTAAAATATCTTTTTACGTTTTTGCATATGCGTTGGGGGGAGGGGGTGTCCATGTGTATATAGAGGTCAGAGGACAACATTGGGGGGCCAGGTTTTTCCTTTCACCACATGTGGGCCTGGGGGATTGAACTCAGGTCTTCAAGCTTGGTAGCACTCTCCTTTACCCGCTGAGCTTTCTCAGGGGCCCCCAAGATTTGTGTTTTGATGGGAGTGGTATCAAAGAAATTTGGAGTCATACTTTTATTTATTTAAAAAATTGCATATTATTTGATCTATACCTCTTTATGGTTTTGGATATACCCATGCTGATAATGCTACTACCTACTACCCTATTCAAAGTCACGAACATTTTCAAAGGTTTTCTTATGCCCTGTGGTGGTTTATGTTTGTTTCACTTCTTCCCCTGTGGTGAGAATACTTAGCATGAGATCTACACTCTTAGCAACATGTGTAAGTGCACAGCACAGCATGGCTAACTATAGCAAGCAGTGCAGTAGATTCTGTGAGAGCTCTGTAGAGTGTACTTGCTTTATACAAATGAAAATTTACACTCAGTGTGCTAGCCTACCTTCCACTGACATAACAAATGTGGGAAGAGCACCAGCTTCTGGGGGGAAAAGCCTATTTTGGCTTATAACGTCATGGTCTCTGTCCATGGTCACATGGTTGCATTACAGTTGGCCCTAAGCAGTGACCTAAGTTTGTTTCACTAGACCCCACCTCCTAAAGGTTCTACCGTCTCCCAGTAGCACCATGCTATTTAGCAATCATAATTGCTACTTTTTTTTTTTTTCGAGACAGGGTTTCTCTGTGTAGCTTTGCGCCTTTCCTGGAACTCACTTGGTAGTCCAGGCTGGCCTCGAACTCACGGAGATCCGCCTGGCTCTGCCTCCCAAGTACTGGGATGAAAGGCATGCGCCACCACCGCCCGGCAATTGCTACTTTTTAATATTGTTGAAAATATTATAAAAATGCACACTAAAGTCTTGGTATGTTACAGATGCTCATATATAGCCCCTATTTTAAATAGTCAAGAATAGAGGGTGTAATTATTTCAGGAATCAAATGAGTGGAGCAAAACTGAAGTTGCGTGTCTATGTTAAAAAAAACTAAGTGGTGGACCAAGTCTTTGGGGGAACACTAAATGTGTAACACCCATTGACCAACAGCTCTCCATTTTCTCTCCTCTGAGTCTCCGGCAAACCATTTTATACCTTGCTCCTGTGAGCTCCATTCTTCTTGCTGCCTCTTTTCGTAGTGCAATCATGTGCTGTTTGTCTGTCTCTGTTGGAGCCATTCCACTTAGCCCACTGTCTTCTAGAGCTACCCATGTTGTTACAACTATCACAGTTTCCTTTTTTTATGGCTGTAAAATATTCCTTTGCACAAACACACTTTTTTTTTTGTCTATTCACCCATCATAGGCATGTACATTATTTCTAGATCTTGGTTACTGTGAACAATGCTGTGATGAATAAGTAACTCTTTAAGATCTCGACTTCAATACTTTTGGAAACATTCACAGAAGCAGGGGGAGAGATGTTTGTAAACTACCATACTGTGCCACTCTAGTTAGAAGTAAAGATGGGATTCAAACCCAGGCCTTCCCAAGTCCTTAGCCAATCCTTTGGCTTCTAAGTTTACTTGGTGTTCATTACTCCTTCCTTCTACCTATATGCTTAGCTCTTCTCTGTCATAACGTCCTGTCCTTCATTGAACATAAGTTTGAGTCATCTGACGCCTTTTAAGATGGATAGTCTACCCTGGTGTGCAGAATCCAATAAGCTGCATCTTATCAGTGGTTGGAACAGTGGATAAACAAAATTTTAATTGGAAATTGTAACTCAATTTGGGATGTTAAAAGGGTTTTAATGGTAGAGATTCACTTTTTAAATTTGTATTAAGTAATCAATAAGCAGAAATAGGTTGTCTGTGGTTAGGTAGCAGACAAGGATGTGTGAATAGAATATGTTTGGGTTCTGGACAAAGACCAAGCTTGAAACTTGGGGCTGGCTGACACTAGAGTTCAAATAAGTAAGTGTGTGGAGGAAAAAAGCCACAGGGTGTGGGGTGAGCCCAGGGCAGACAGTTGGGAGCTGGCAGCCACTTATGGGAAGAAATCAAGAAACTTTACTATCATTACATTTGGGTTTCAGAACAGTACATACAGGAGCATGGCCCACAGCTTTGGGTACAATGTAGGTACTACTAACATTAAAGAAAAGGTAGATAAAAGTAGATCTCACATGGCCAGAGAGAAACAAGAGTCTGAGTTACCTTGAGACCTGATGCTAGACTATCAAGTTCTCTATCTTTCTCTCCCCTGCCTTCCACCTTCCCTCTTTTCTTCCTTCCTTCCTTCCTTCCTTCCTTCCTTCCTTCCTTCCTTCCTTCCTTCCTTCCTTCC